ATATTAGGAAAAACTATTTCACTAGGCGGGTGGTGAAGCACTGGAATGGGTTCCCTAGGGAAGTAGTGGAGTCTCCATCCCTAGAGGTGTTTGAGTCTCGGCTTGACAAAGCCCTGGCCGGGTTGATTTAGTTGGGATTGGTCCTGCCTAGAGCAGGGGGCTGGACTTGATGGCCTTCTGAGGTCTTTTCCAGCCCTATGGTTCTATGATTCTATTTTGAAATAGCTTATTTTGTCATTTGGCACTGTCCACACAGCGCCAAATTCCGAAATAAAGCGCTATTTCGAGCCATTCCATACTCCTCATAGAATGAGGTTTGCAGAGATGGTGAAATATAGGGGACATATACAAAAAACCTGGGGTAGCCATTTCGGGATACCTCTTGATACCCCAAAGTAACTTTGCTGTGTAGACATAATCTAAGGTGCTACAGGACTACTTCATGTTTTTACACTGAGGAAGTTACCACCTTAATTTATCCCTATGTCTAGGGTACAGGCCAGACACCCTTTGCAGTTAATGTCAGGCAAACTCAGAAAGGGCTGATAGTTACGAAGGTCACTTCAGGTCTGTATTGATTAGTGACCAAGACAGGTGAAAACTGCATGGATGTGCAAGAGTGCCCAAGTCATTGTTCGGGTCTTTAAAAGCTCATTACTTTGTCAGGTGCACTGCAATAAGGTGTGGCTTTTATGTAACCTAAGCGACATTGGGGCACATGGAGATAAAATGACATCCTTTAAAACAAAGGAACAAAACTATTTCTCTACTTGTACAGTGAAGCCTATTTAAATTATTACAGTGTAAAAGAAAAATATGCTGTAATGCACTCCAGCTATTTAGTTGAACACCTCAGTGTATCAAGTGCCGTGATATAATGGGTTCCCACCCTTTATGTGAATAAGAAAATTATCATGGGTGGGGCTCTTTTCAGCTGCTATGGATAGATGTAGATTAGTGCCTTGTTTCTGCACTTGGGTACTAGCCTCTTTAAGATGGTTTCAACCTTTTCCAGGTAGAGCCTACTTCAGAAATTGAAAGGTAAAGGAGATAAAAATGTCTTTTTTTAAGTGGGTTTATTAGCAAAACCAGACCTATCTGAAATCTTCCAAGAGAACGACAGAGTGAGTAATTCCAAACAAAGTACAGAGTGAAAAAGTGAAGCTGGCTGCTCCTTTCTGTTTTGTTTTATGTGCACTGGGTCTGAGTACAAAGATTTTTTCACTGTCCAATGGAATCCGAATAACTTCTTCGTAGGTTAGCAGAGGGTTCATGCAAAGTATCTGAGAACTCTTGGCATAGTTGGACTCTTGTGGTGCTTTTAGACCAGGGGTGGAGGGAACCTTTTTTGGGCTGCGGGCCACTGACCCACAGAAAAATCAGTCAGGGGCTGCACAGCAGTGAGAAGAAAAAAAGTGTGGCCTTTGACTCAGAGAAAGATACTCTCCACATCAGAGGCCGGGGGCCCCAGCCTAGTAGATTTTGTGTGCTTCAGCCCCACAGTGGGGAGATGGGAAGGCTGGTGCACCAGCACAAGCTTCCCAATACCAGAGGGGCCCTGAGCCTCAGGGGCTGGATCCGGGTGTGCCAGGGGCTACATCTGCCCCCGGCCTGAGGTTCCCCACCCCTGTTCTAGACTTTGAAGAATGTCGTAATTGCTATATACAAGATCACTTGTCCGTCTACCATATTATCCTGATTTTAGCAGTTCCCTGTAACAACCAATTATTATTGCCAAGAAAAAGTTTGCCACTGTTGTATCAGAGAAGTATATGTGGGAGACCACAGTGCACTTGGGCAGTTCAGTTCTGAACCATGGGAGGCAATAGTAGAAGGATTTCTTCCTGAGCCACCTGGCAAACAGTATGTACTCTCAATATGATTCTTGAGAACTCCTGTAACTTTTATCCTAGGGGCTGCAACTAGTAGAGTTTCTTCTGAGGTGTTAAATAATTACATAATTTTAAGGTCCTCTTGACCCCTTTACACGAATGCTACCTCCTTTGAAAATTCCATCCTGAATCTCCAGTACCCCAAGACAACTGTAAAACAATGCAATAAAAATTGTGTATCTCTAGTAATATTTTCCTGTAGTGGCTTGGAATTACTCCAACGTTAAGTCATCTAGTCTACAATCTCAATATTATAACCAAATCTGGTGGCAAAAGCATTTCTTCTGCACATTACAGATAGGGATATAAAATCCCATTTAATTGGTTAACCGATTAACGGGAGATTAGCCCCCTGCTGCAGGGTGATGCTTATCAGTTAGTCTTTTACATCTCTAGTCACGAATCAAATTCCATTTTAGCTTTTAGCCAGAAGAGCAAAAACCAGCAAATACTGAATCGGAGGCCAGATTGAAGCCTTGTGCACACCATTCTAGAGCCACTGTGGTGGTGTGGTAACTGACGGAGAGGGGGATATTTGAGTTAGCAAGATGTGGCTGTAATCCGGCCTCTCCTGGAGAGGAGTAGAAAAAGCCAGGCTGGAAAGATCTTGTTAAAAACCTATGACTTCCTCCTCCCCCCATCCTCTAATTTATAACAGGTATTTCATTTCTGGTTTATGTCCTTCTGCTTTAGATATAATTCGAACTATCCGGGATCCAGAGAAGCCTAATACTTTAGAAGAACTGGAAGTAGTAACGGAAAGTTGTGTTGAAGTGCACGAGATAGGGGAAGATGAATATCTCGTTATTATCAGGTTTACGCCTACAGTACCTCATTGCTCTTTGGCAACTCTCATTGGTAAGATTCATATTTCCTTAAATGGCCAAAATAGTTTTCTTCTAAAATGTGCAACAGTAAACCAAACACAGTGGTGGTTCAGCTCAGTAACATTTTTAAAAATAAAGTTTTTTTTTTTTTTTTTTTTTTTTTTTGGCCTGGACTTCTATTTCAGAAAGCATTACACAAAACATTTAAAAATAGTATAATATTTCTTGAAATTAGTACCTTTTATATAAAGCAAAAAGATCTTGTAGGTCTTGTTTAGGGATGATGTCTTTCAGAAATCCGCTTCATGACTGGGTAGTTCTAAGAAGCTCTCAGTTAAGAGGAAGAAAAGGAATTGTGAGTAATGTGTATATGATTGCTACTTATTAGGCCCTAGCCAAACTAGTTTGAGTTGTATTTGGCTTAACAGCAGTTTTCATAAATGGCTGTCTCAGACACAGACCGACTACTGTTTTATAATTTCTACATTTGGTAGTGCAAACTAGGATATCGGACTGGTCCCTGTGGATAATCTATACAGCACGACTTCTGAAGACAGGTGCAATATCGTATGTTGTGGAAATAAACCATTTAACAGCCTAATGTTGCTCTGAGTGTGTTAAAATGTTTAACACCTCAGGTACAGCTAGGGCATTAGTATTTGCCTTATTGCTTCAAAGCTAAGCAGTCCAAGGTGGCTTATGGTATAGTCTTGTCTCAAGAATAATCTGTACTGATTTAAGAGAAATAACAAAATGGGCTGTCTTCAGCAGTTCTTACTCATGCAAGAAAGTACACTGGCATTAGATCTGTGATGGGTCCTGTGTCTAGGCCTGTTAACAACTGAAGTTCCACTTTTAATTTTTGGGGATTACAATCTAGGGATTGCACATTTACCAGTTCATACCCTCCTGAATATGAATAGCTGGTAGAGTTGATTTTTACTCAGGCTAGAACAGTGTTTCTGAAACTGTGTTATGCGGCATACCGGTGTGCTGCAAGGCAGTTGGAGGTGCGCCGCGGAGAACAGAGTTCAAAATGGCTGCCCTTAAAGGGGCAGGCAACTTTTTTTCTCAATAACTTTTCCCCGCCCCCTGTTTTTTTGCGCAACAAAAAATCCTTCGTGTTCCTTGGTCTTAAAGTTTAAGAAACACTGGGCTAGAAGGATATGTTTAAAAAATGCTGCATGATTCTGCATTACTACAGCATTTTAAAGAAAAGCAGTTTGTCAGAGCTTGATTAAAAACAAACCCGATTAGGGATGTAAAATCCCATTTACACGCTAGAACTGGAAAGGACCTTGAGAGGCCATCTGGTTCAGGCCCCAAGCCCTGTTTAATTGGCTAAGGGTTAAATATAGTGATAACATTACATTTAACAGATTAAAGGAGATAGGGACAGCCCCTCGCCCACCTCCAGATGGGGCTGGGCTACAGCAGCCCTCACTGCAGGCGGCAGGGGCCTGTTTTGGCCCAGCTGCTCCCAGGCCCCATGGGGGACCTGGTGGGCAGGAGGCTGCTCCCAGGTACCAGTGTTAACCGTTACCCGGCAACCATCACCAGTTAAGCATTGCCCATTGACATCCTTGTTAGGGACTAATAAAAGGTAACAAGCTAGAACAGGGTTCTATACTCTTGTTTATTTTTTTTTTAACTATGTACTTAGTTGGGATGTCATTTAAGGATGTTACTACATTTCAAAGGCGAAAGCTCTGCATGGAGCCTGGGGTCCACATGGCACTGCCGCTTCGAAATGCTATGAGGCACCTGCTGATAGAGGCAGCAAGGGGTAGAGGGGAGCAACTAGTCGACTGTCCTATCAAGTATCCGATAAGCATTTGCTTATCGGATAATCGACTAGTCCTTCACACCCCTAATGTCATTTAGCCTGTTTCCTTCCTGTGATGAAATTAGACCTCTGCTCTCTGAAGTTATGCTGCTTAGTTATAACACAGTAAGATTAGCAAGCTTTAGAATTCTAGGGTAACACCCACAGTGGATTCTTACTTTAAATTTTAAATGCTTTTTTCTTTAAAGCAAAATAAACATTCCGAATTTAACCAGGAAACAAATCATGCTGAAGTATCACTCCACTTCTTTGTATGGGAAAGTGAAGTACAAATGGCCTATTTTAGGACTGGCAGTTACCTAATCATTTATTTAGAGCTTATTTACATAGGGATGCTATTCTGAAATAAGGGTGTGAATTTGAAGCTCAGTAGGTGGTCCATGCTATCTCACTGTGTAAAAACTCTTCTAGTCCACACATAATGCCCTTGTGTAGAATAAGAGTATTCGTATTGGAAGCTAGTATAAAGCCCTTACAAAAACCAGATTTGATGAGGTGCAAAGCACCCTCAAATTGTGGTAGTCAGGCTCATGTACAATAACTATTAATTACAGTGTGTGGTTTTTAAAGAGTATGAAAATTTTTACTCTGATGTTTAAAAAGTAAAATAGGAGACTAATAACATGCTGTGAACTTGATTGCCACAGTTAGATCACAGGTAAACAAAGCTTGTGGAAATCAGAGTGACCTCTGTTTCTCCACAGTTCCTCATTCTGTGAAAGGAAAGGGCAATTATGATTAAGCAGCTATGTAGCATAGCGCATATAAGAGGACAAGTCTCCCCCTCCCTCCTTCCTTTACTTATTTTTGGATCTGGACTTCCAGCACGCCTGTCATCTGAAGAAGTGAGTTGTGCCCACGAAAGCTCATGATATCATCTACGTGTTCATCTTAGTCTTTAAGGTACTACTAGAGTAGTTGTTGTTTTTTAAGTTTTTTCATAAGCAGTTAGTCAGAAGTCCTCTCGTGCACAGACTTCTTGATTTTAAATTGGTGTTTTATGTCTTTTTACCTACTGGGCCCTAAATAGCCTGTGACTAGTCTACTCAGAGTTGTAATCTGTGGAGGTGCTGAATTCTTATCCCCCTTGATAGCACTGGGTTTGGCAGAAATAATTTTTTTTAATGTTGACAGATAGTATCAGTGCTTATTTTTAAGCTTTTTACATTTATTGTTTTTTAAATTTTCAGTTATAGAAAAGTATTGGCTGGTTTGATAACGGGGGAGAGTCAGATACTTGTTTAATCTCGTGATGAGATTCAAAAAGCAAAAACTTTAACCATTAAAACACAAATATTGAAAATCACATGTTGAAGTATATGAAGTTAATATTCTTAAGTCAGGCTCTAAGTTATCGAGCATCGTTTTCCTTATTGTACCTATTTGTAAAATGTTATCAAATTTTTCATTGCTCTGTGTTTGTATAGCAAGATTAACATTTACCACTTGTATATCTGATCCTTCCAGGCCTGGGGAATGGGTGTCAGGATGTTCTCCATGAAGGCCTTAGGGCTCTCCAGTCCCTCCTGTTCCTGCTCTGAAGTAGCGCAGATGTGTTGACTTACAGGGCATATTGGAGGGCCTGTTGGTTTCAAATGACTTTTGAGGCATGGGCCAATATATTGAGGTGTTGGTATTTCTAGAGCTGCTGTTTGGTGGAAGGGGGGAGCTGATTGTACTGTATTGCCGTTTGTTGTCACTAATTTGCGGAATGCCCAGAACCTGTGCACGGGTTCTCCTTATTTTCTTTCCGCTTAGAGAAAACAAACATGTCTGTACGCGAGAGAGTCTACGCCTGCCTGGATATTTACGCTCTGAAAGGAACTGGTGACTGAGAGAGTTGTGGTAGTTATTGCTCTAACTGAGGTTGGACAGACCAGGAGATGGCTGGAAATGGGTCACAGAGGTGCAGTGGTCTTCTGTCCCAAAGAATTACTGAGTGCTTGCTTGGGTCTGACATACTCTCTAGTTAGTAGATTCAAGCATCCTCTTTCTCTGCCTGCCCTGTGCTAATGATTATGAAGATAAACAATTTAGATTTCAGATATTTCTCTCTAGGCTAGTTGCATGTCACTTAACCAGATTGCTACTGCAGTGATGAATATGATGGAAAGGCCTAATTTAGATAACATTTCAGAGGGGTAGCTGAGTTAGTCTGTAACTAGGAAAACAACAAATAGTCTAGTAACACCTTAAAGACTAACAAAACAATAGCTAACACTGTTTGAACCTTGCATGGAAACTGTCGGGTAAAAATTAATATTAAGTTTCACATGCTGCTTTTCAAATTAATCCATGATTTAAATCCTAATGTTCCTAGGACAACGACTGTTTCCTTTCTGTGGTTTGTATGATACTGAACACTTGGTCAGAGTTTTACAAAGAATTTCATATATATTGGAAATTAGGCCAGGGGTGGCTACCTGGGGTAGATGATACACTTAGGAGACAGGAGGATTCCCTGCTCCCCTACGTTGTTCCAAGATCGTGTTCTATGCAGGCTGTTTGCTGGGCTTGTAACTAAGAAATCTTCTGAAAGAAATAGCTGCATTATGTATTCAGCAGAGGTTAAATGCAGCCGCAGGCCTCTACTACAGGAATGCAGACTAAAGGGAGGGGAGGAGAGGAGTGATTAGCCTCCAGGCACCTTATTGACTAAAGACTCTCTCTAGGTCAGGGTTTCCCAACCTATGGGTCAGGACCCAAATATGGGTCGCCAGGTGTCTCCCCAGGTGGCTCTTGAGGAGCCATTCACACATTTTTTTTGAATTGCCCTGGGTCACCAAGTCTTCCTGAATTGTCAAAATGGGTCCCCATCTGGAAAAGGTTGGGAACCGCTGCTCTAGTACAAAGCGGGAACAGAGCAGGCTTCCCCATTATCCTGCTTCAGCCTCATTGTTCTTCCAGATCACCATCTTGAGCTCAGAGGGTTCCTTTGTCAGTCATTCATCATCTTTCTGCTGAGACTGCTACAGGGGTGCCAGTTGCCAATTGTATTGGTGACGTTTATAATACATGCCTATTGGATTTTCTGTGAAATTGCCAATCAAACTGGTTGTTGTTTGTTTTTAAACAGGGCTTTGTTTGCGAATAAAACTTCAGAGATGTTTGCCTTTTAAGCACAAGGTAAAGTGTTAATTTCTATCCTTATATCAGACTATGCTTGGATGTATGCCCAATACCAAATGACAAACACCAAACAAACTGCAGGATTGCTTACGTGGTTGTAAAATTGTGGTCAGAAAGATGGTGTTTTTAAATTGTGCATAGTAATTTGCATATGGAATAATAGGGTTTCTTGCTGCACAGTCCAGCATGTAAAGGAACTTAGAAGTCCTAGCGATTTTTCTTGTTCTTCAAAGCATTTAACAACAAAAAATCCTGTTTGTTCTTTCCACATGAATCAGTTATTGCTAAACTGTGGAAAGGAGAAATGTGCTGAGGGAACCCTCCTGACCAGAGCCATTCCCCGGGTACCGCGAGTGGAGGTGCTTTGGGGGCCACCATGCTCTGGGGCTGGAGCGGCCGCCGGCAGCCATGGTACTAGAGCCTCCCACCCTCTCCCAGCTCCTACCGCTTGCCATGGATCAGCTGTTTCGTGGCTCCAGGAAGTGCTCAGGGAAGGGGAGAAGAGCAAGGGCGGGGCATGCTCAGGGGAGGAGAAGGGATTGGCCAGGAAGAGGTAGGGTGGGAGTAAGAAGGGCTGGGGCAGGGCCTTCTGGGAAGTGGTGGAGGTGGGCTTGGGCAGAGCCAGAAAGAGCACCCCTTAGCACAAGAAACTTGGTGTCTATATCCCGGGCCCTGCACCCTTGTAAGGATGGCCCTGCTCATGACTCTTTCACAACCCATTCCCACCACCATGTGTCTTTTGATTTTTGACACATGGTGGGGATGGATTGTGGAAAATGCAGGACATTTAAAAAAAACACGCACCCAACCCCAAGTATCTATGTCCTCCTAATGCCTGCAAGGGAAAGAATTATGAGCCACAGGAGAATGTCAAAGCACCCTGGCACCGTGAATTTCATTAATGTTTAACTACTTCCTGGGGTTGTTTGTACCTTTGAACTAACTGCTGGCTGTTCCCAATGATTCCTGAGTGTGTACGCGAGACAGGGCTGCCTGAGGTTAAGGTGGTGACTAAATGGGCCAGTGTCTTCGACTCGGACTCCAGCTAAGGAATAAAGGTGTCCTCTACTGTGCTCGTGAAGAGTCTCTGCAAAACAAGAAAAAGGGCAATGAGTGGGCTCTGTTAGTGAGTCTGCTCTGAGAATTTGTAAGCACTGCAGAGGTAGGGGGTAGAACCAGCATTTGGAATGAGATGTCTTGTTCCTATAACATAAATAGGAACACAGCAACTGCCATGTGGGATCAGGCCAGCGGTCTGCCTAGCCCAGTATAGCCAGAACCAACCACTACAGTGCAATGTGCAGGAAACTGTGTAGTAGGCAGTTATGGGTTAGCCTCTATTTACAGCATTTTCCTTCTGACCCCAATAGTTAGAAACTGGCTCATGACCTAAAGCGTGTGGGTTTGTAGCTCTTCTAAATCTCACTTGGAATGCTCGGCTCTGGACTTAAACACGTTTCACATTTCTTAGCGTGTCTAACATCCTACCTCTAAGGCTTGGTCTTCACTGCCAAAAAGCACGTGTTGATCCTGTGAAATAACTAGTGCGTGTTGGTAATTGTGTTGCGGAAAAAGCCCAAAGGCCTGCTTTGGCAGCAAAGACCTAGCCTGAGTGTTGGTGCCTTTGTGTGGCATAGGTCACTTCACCATAATGTGGGTGATGTTACATATATTTGCTGCAATACTTTGAGTCATTTCCTTGTACCAGAGTTTCAGCACTGGACTTCCTTGCTTTTGTAACTGCTTGCCAGTGACTTCGTGCTTTTGGGAATAGTCTCACCTCAAAAACTGCAAACGATATTTATAGAAAATTGTGTTGGTGACACTGCACAACCAGCTATTGAATCCTAACCAGTCACTTTAGCATCAAGGGTATGCAACAAATTAATATTGTTGGAGCTTTATGTGAATACAATTTTATTTGTAGTTCAGTTCCTTAATTTTTACAGCAGAGAACTTCAGTAATTAACATCACTACAACTAAGTTAGCCTTGGAGTTCTAATGTGTGGCTACCATTCAGATGCTTCATGAGAATAGCCTTTTTTGAGACCTGTCATACGTAATATTAAAGCCAGCCACGTTTGGAATGGTAATGTAATATTCTAGTTCCATGCAGGGGATCTGTAACAAGATGCTGAGCTCAGATTTGCCACCACTAAGCCACGTGAAGATAGAGAAACCCTTTTGGCTTGGACAGCTTCCTCATGTCCCCTTCTCAGCCAAATGACAGAACTGCATTGACTCTTCCACAGAAAGCCCGCTTAGTCCTCCTCCCCCCAAAAAGCTGAGAGTGATGTGATAAGGAGCTTTTAAGGAATGGGGGCAGGGAGAGATGGTAAATCTCTCTTAGGATTTCCTCCTCGAAAGGATCATATTTTTTTAAGTGTTTAAATCAGCTGTTTAGGAAAGTGACAGTTGCAGTCCTGTAGCCTCTTCTAGACAAACAGCTCCTACATCGGCACCTACCAACGCTTGCTTGTGGTTTACAGAGAGCTGGCTGGCAAGATAGCGCTGCGTCTCCTCCCTGTTTCCAGCTGCTTAACGGTATTACCAGAAAACTGAACATACATGTGGGTATTTTCCCAGTAACAATGTGCCGTGCAAGTCATTGATATGCCCATCTTAGTTTGATCAACAATAGGAGTGATTGGTTATAAATGGAAGGGGAGATATTCATAGGGCTTTTTCATAAAATATCATCCAGACGAAAAAGTTTGAGACCTGCCTGCTGTGGACAACAGTGATTGGATAAATTCACAAATGTTAATTGTCGAATCAGGGTGCACAGAGATAGGAGACGTCTATATGGCGTGGTTTTTTTGGCAGAAGATATGCAAATGGGGTGCTCATTTGCATATCCCACACTCTCATTTGCATATCCTCTTCCGATCCTTTTTGCGGAAGAGGTTTTTGCGATAAAAAGCTCTGTGTAGACGGGGCCATTTGTCGGAAAACCCCCCTTTTGCGCAAGAGCCTGTAAACTGTATGGGCTCTTGTGCAAAAGGGGTTTGTTCTGACAAATGGCCCCGTCTACACACGTCTTTTTATCGCAAAAACCTCTTTTGCAAAAAGGATAGGCAGAGGATATGCAAATGAGAGCATAAGATATGCAAATGAGTGTTCCATTTGCATATCTTCAGCCAAAAAAACACAGTGTAGATGTAGCCATAGTGTGTAGGAGAAAAGCTACTCACGTGTGACTAATATTGTTTATTTCTTATCTAGCTGGAAATTTATATATCTGAAGGTGCCCATACCACTGAAGAGGACAGTAAGTGGCTTTTTATTAACGGAATGACTCTGGCTTCAAGCTTTGTGACCCATTACACCTGGAATTAATGCTAGGGATGTGCAAAGTTAATGTTAATGTTTATTAACATTCCTAAATGGGTGATGCTTACTGGTTCCCATTAACCAGTGGAGGCTGGAGCAGCTCCACCCCCACCAGGGACAGGGGCTGCTCTCATCCAGAGCAGCCTCTGTCCACGGGGAGCCCCAGCCCCAGCAAGGGGCTGGGAGTGGGAGCCCTGTGGTCTGGGAGCTGCTCCCAACGGGCTGGGGCAGTTCCCAGTCCAGATCTCACTTCAGTCTGTTAACCAGTTAAACATTAGGCTAACCTGGCGTTTAACAGGTTAGCTGATTAACAGGGATTTTGCATCCCTGCTTAATGCAGTATCAGTGTTGCAGGGGCATGTCAGTTGGGAAATCTCAAAATGTTAGGTTGCTGCATTAAAATTCAAACTTGTTCGTGTTGATGCAGATGTCAGACAGTTATGACTTGATGGAGGCTTTTTTGTTACAAGGAGGCAAAATATGTTTGTTCCATATTGTTAACTTGCAGTGAGGGGTTCAGAGGAGCTTAGGGTAGGCTGTGGCTTCACAAATTTTACGTTACTTAAGATCTGTGGAGTATCTTCCATAAGCGGGGTGTTGCATGTTCCTTTTCTGGACTAGAAATACCATGCAAGTGATAGGCCATGTGCAGTCACTTGCAATCACTTTCTCCCACTTGCTTCTCTGCCCTTTTTCTCCTTCTAATTCCTCTTTGTTCTACCTGATGTGCCCTGCTCAACACCCTACCATGTCGTTTTCCCTCTTGTATGCTATTTCCAGCATGCCAGGAGCAATGTCCTCTCTAATTTTTTCCATCCATGTGTGGAATCAATTTTGTTATGTTCATTGATGCATGTGTGGATGTTAACCATCAGTATAAACAGATGCTGCTGGCTGTGGGCACTCAGCTTACAGGAAGAGGTAGGCAATAAGTTTTGCAGGGAGTGGCACTTAACGAATTTTGGGGGAAAGATGCCACAATTCATTTCTTATTCCTTTGTTGTCTCCCATTCCCAGTTCTTGAGATTGCTATTGTCTTCAGAGACTGCAGGAACCTCCTCCTGCAGGCTCAAATACCTAGCACAGTGTGATTATCCATATAAGAATTCCTTTCTAAAATGTGTCTGACTTACTTTTCATCTGATATTTTTGCAGTCAACAAGCAAATAAATGATAAAGAGAGAGTAGCAGCTGCGATGGAGAATCCAAACTTGCGTGAAATTGTGGAGCAGTGTGTTACGGAACCTGATTAGTCTCTACAGTAGCCACAGAGCTGTGATAATTTTGATACATGAGTTTAATTATTTGTAAAATTTCAGGACCTTGAGTTTAATACTTATATTGTTTGTACCTTCCACATGACTTTTAAAGGAAACCATTTATAAAGCCGATGTAAATTATAAAAAAGTAGCTGGCAGAATATAAAATGCAGTGAAGCATATAGTGTTCTAAAGAATTTATAATAATCAGTGATCAAGGAGAAATATTTTAACTAGTTATGAGCTAGCTGTGTTGCCTTCTTCTGATGCAAATTGTGATACAAAACCAATTTTGCAGGTTAAATTTCTGCTGTGCTCAAGTGGAATATGTTTCAATCTCAACACTGTAAAAAAATTAAAAAATGATTCTTGTAATGATAAGCTACTTCCTGTGTTGACTCTCTGTACTCTTAATTTAATTAACGTTCCTGGCCTGGTAGCCATTAGAGAAGGAAATGTTTTGCTCAAGTGTTTTCACTGTTGGTAAAATGTTTTGTCATAAAAATTGAAACTAAATGTAAAGCACGAGTTGACGTGCTAAATTTGAATATATTGTGTGAATGGTCAACTAAATTAGCTAAAATAGTGGTATACTCAAAAAGTGTCAAGTGAGTACTTCTGAATTTCAGATGTTCTTTAACCTTTAATCTTCTGTCAGCAAGAAAAGTTCTTGTACTGCTGTGATGTCCATATATTAGTGGACTGTCATTGTGAATTTTTTCAGAGGATTTTAGCAGCAAACTGAATGACACATGCTAGCCACTTCTGTTGTTTTTGCTTGTTTCCTAATCCTTATGCAAATTGTTGGAGGCATGTTGATTTAAAATCTGGTTAGAATTGTGTCATGGGACTATCAGATTTGATAAAACAGGAGTTGACTGATTTTTCTCTCTGTTAATCTTCAAACCTAAAAGATCTCTCATCCTCCCTTTTTCAAAGATTTAAGACTGCTGTGGTAATGTTTTACTAACGTAACTTTGTTGCTTTTATATAATTTTAAATGAGACTTTTTATAATAAATACAAATGAAGTTTATAACAGTATGGCTGACAGTAACTTTTTATAAATTAACCAACATGAATACAATCTCCCAGTTATTTGTGTCAATTGGAATTTGTGTTTTTTGTGTTTCTATCTGGGATCAGTTATGGCAAAATGAAACAATTAGAAAACAGCAAATCTATCCAGGTATGATTATAGCCGATAAATAAGTTAAAATCTAAAATTGACCATTTTTAAATGTATGTATGTAATCTAATATCTAAAGGAGAATGTTTGTAACTTTGTGCACTAATAACTTGGACACTATAAGAGCTTCCGCAATGAAACTTTGCATGGGGTAACCTTTCATCCAGGAGAAGGTTTGAAAGTACTTTTGGACCCGATCGGGCCCGAGCTCAAGCTGTAAAAAATCAAAAAGTAATCCACTGCTCTGCGCTGCAGGGGCTGCCCCACCCACCCTAGGTCCCATGCCTGCCACCCTCAGCGCTGTCCGGGACTCACCCCCTCCTGCCCGCGAGGTTACATAAGCAACCCTCTTGCCTGCCCCTCGCTCCTGCCCCTTCTTCCCAGCATGCAGTGCCCCAACCCCCACGTGCACAACGGCTCGGGCACCCGCCCTGCCCCCTGTGGCACTTATAGTCCTGGGCATGAGCTGGGGCGCCCCTCCCGCATGTAACCTCCCCTCCACCTGGGGTCGCACCCTTCCGAGGATGACGCTGACCTATATTTTAATCCCTGTAGAAATCAGTGCAACTTTTCTACCATTCAAAAAAAGATAATGGACTACTGTTTTTCTATATTTTGTTCCTCCGGTTTCCCAAGCAACGCCGGGTAACTCCAGCTAGTTTTACATACGTTTCATATCCTGAAGCTCCATAGACTGACTTGGTGCTGAGATAGATACATCATGTCTCCACTTGTCCAAGGATCAACACAGAAAGGAGCATAAACTCTGTCAAAGTAAGTGTAAAACTATAGTAAGAAAAGCCAAAAAGGCGTTTGAAGAGCAGCTAGCCAAAAAATCCAGAAGTAATAACAAAATGTTTAAGTACATAAGAAGCAAGAAGCCGGCTAAACATCCAGTGGGGCCCTTGGACGCTTGAGATGGTAAAGGAGAACTCAAAGATAAGGATGTTGCGGAGAAACCAAGTGAATTCTTTGCTTCTGTCTGCACGGCTGAGGCTGTTAGGGAGACTTCCAAACCTGAGATTCTTTTTAGGTGACAAATCTGAGGAATTGTCTCAGATGGAGGTGCCATTAGAATAAATTGATAAACTAAACAGTAACAAGTCAATGGGACTAGATGGCATTGTGGCCTAGTGGGGGTGCTGTCTGCTCTGTAACCCGGTGCCTTCTCTCCTCTTTCTCCCCCCTCTTCCCCCCCGCCCAGCGCTGTGATGTGATGTGAGATTCTCACTGACTCCCAAATGTGTATTAACTCAGACACCTCGGCTCAGCCTCCCAGGGAGAGAGACTAGGAAGTTTGTCTCTGTCCGTGGGATCGGATCAAATCCGGTTGTATCTTAGGGCTTGGCTGTATACAATAGATTGAGAAATGTGTCTGGGATGCAAGCTGGAGGCATGAGGTAAGTGTAGCGGTCGGTGGGTTTCCGGTAGAGGGTGGTCAGTCTCTCACGTCCCAAGGACCAGGTGACAGCAGATAACACCTTGGACTCTTGGGCCCAGGAAGCAGAACAAAGGAGGGGGCGGGGGAGCCTCTGCCCCTGGAGGAGCCTCTGCCCCGACAGCCTTTGCAAACCACAGAGCCAAACTACATCAAAATCAGAACAAGTGGTCACCATAGAGCCCAGTAAGAATGCCCACTTGCATTATTATTGCTAATTGACATGGTGATTAATAACAGCGTCAATGAACCATTGTTCTCACAGACTTTATATAATGGGAGTTCTGCTGCTGCATCTTTTCACACGTTTCTTTGAGGTTCACATCATAACTGGTCAAGCAGAGCTTCGTGCAGGATTCAGGCTGTCTCCTGTCAAACTTATGGCAGAGGATGTGGGGTATAAGGGGCTCGGCAGGGGGTTCAGGTGTATGATGGGCTCAGAGCACAGGGCTGGGTTTGGCAGATGCAGGAGTGCTATGGCAGGGGACTGGGGATGTGGGGGTGCAGGAGTCTGTTGGGGGGTGAGGGGCTCACGGCAGATGGTTCAGGTGTATGATGGTGTCAGGGCTGGGGTGTGGGGGTGCAGAAGTGTTATAACACTATGGCCAGGTGGGGATTGGGCCCCAATTGGGGGCTTGTTGGCCAGGCTTCATTTTAAAATAAAGTACATTATTATGCCCACCACAAAAGTTTTTAATATTGTCTTTATTTTCAGGATTGGGGAACCTTCCTTGGGCCAGGCCCACTGACCCACAGAACAATCAGTTAGGGACCCCACTGAACTGAGATGCATAAACCACAGTGAAGGTCCAACTAACCTCAAACATGTGAGGAGTTCCGAACTGTCTTTGGGTAGCTTTAACTTTGCCTCTAAATCCATTACAATCTGTGAGCGCCTGAGGCAATTGCTGCCAGTCGTGGTCAGCTTGGAGAAAAGGGGAGCAAGGCAGCTCTATAATTTAGTGCTGGATGAAGATTTCGAATCTGGAATTCTGTGGTCCAGCAACTCCCTGGGCACTCCAGGGCTGGAGCACTCACGGGGAGAAATTAGTGGGTGCAGAGCATCTGTGCCAAGCTTACTCCTCTGTCCCTTTCCTACGCATGCACTGATGGCTGGGTACCTCTTGCCCCTTGCACTCCTACTTCCCACATCTATGGAGACCCTCTGGCGCTCTACATTGACCTTCCCTAGTTCAGGAAATTCTCTGGTTTGGCATGGCCACATGGGTCAGCTCTCAAGGATGCCAGACCAGAGAGGTTCAGCCAGTATATGCTTTTGAGCAGCTCATTCATTTCCATTTCTCATGCCTTTTACAGCTAGGCTGTTCAGGCGAGAGAAGAGCATTTCTTGCTTATTACAGGGAGGGCAGTGGAGCTGAACTAGAACTGTGTGAACAACGGGTTTTTAGGCCTGCTGGCTATTTAAAAAATTGTGTGGCAAACATTTTGGGTCAAATAAAATGTTTTGTTTTGGACCATTTAAACATTTTTATTGTTAATAATAAATAAAAGGAAAATTTGAAACAAGTCTTTTTGAACTGGAAAATTGAAGTGCTTTTGAAAATGTCAATATGAAACACTTTGACACAGTTGGAATTTTTAGTTTGTTTTTCTTTTTCCTGAAACAATTTGGCACCATGTGATTGGCAGGATTGGCAAAGCATGTCAGCATCACTGGATCTTTTTGTTTCTCTTTCCCCAGAACTTAGGACCAAAAATGTTGCTCTGTCCTAACTCTCAGAAGTTCTGAGCAGCTGCTGCTGCTGCCATGGATTTGATACACTTAATCTTGAGTGTATGGATATTCATTGCACGTATTTTGTTGGGATGATTTCTGTCACAAGGTGTGGGAGAGTCACCGGGCCCTGAACCCCCATCCGCAGCCAGATGTGACTCTCAGCCAGCGAGTAGACAGAACGTTTATTGGTTCACAGGGATACAGTGTAGCCCAGACTTTGTTACAGGAACCAGGAACATTCTGTACAATCCATCTCGGGGACAGGAGGGCCCAGAGCCAGGGCTCCGGGCCCCTGCCCAGCCCCCCAAGCCAGTTAGATTCCCCTCTCCCCAAGCCAGCTGAAAAAACTAACTCACACCCCCACCAACTGGCCCCAGCCTTCTAGGCAGCCCCGCCCCCTCCTTTGTTCTGCTTCCTGGGCCCAAGAGTCCAAGGTGTTATGTGCTGTCACCTGGTCCTTGGGACGTGAGAGACTGACCACCCTCTACCGGAAACCCACCGACCGCTACACTTACCTCATGCCTCCAGCTTGCATCCCAGACACATTTCTCAATCTATTGTATACAGCCAAGCCCTAAGATACAACCGGATTTGATCCGATCCCACGGACAGAGACAAACACCTATGGGATCTATATAGAGCATTCCTAAAACTGAAATACCCACCTGGAGAAGTGGAAAAACAGATTGACAGAGCCAAAAAAGTACCCAGACATGTACTACTTCAAGACAGACCAAAAAGAGAAAATAACAGAATTGCACTTGTCATTACCTACAGTCCGCAACTCAAACCCCTCCAATGCATTATCCACAATCTATAACCTATCTTGGAAAATGACCCTTCACTCTCAGAGGCCTTGGTGGAAAGACCTATTCTCACGCAAATAAAGATGCCTGACGCTGCTGTGCTAATAACATTGTACACTTGTTTGAATGTAAGCACATAGTTCTTTAGCACGAAACATATGTGGTGTAACAAGGTTGTTTTTTTTACATTCTTAAGTGAACAGTTGTAGGTGAATGTTGTAGATCAAAGCTAAAATTTTCCAAAGCAAGCGTGTTTGAAAATGTTACCCTAATCTGCCTTTTAGTTATGTTGCGAAAGGACTTCCTAATGAAAGGCAAGCAAATGAGCTAGAACAGTGGTCCCCAGCGTGGTGCCTGCGGGCGCCATGGCACCCACCAGGCCATTTCTGTGCGCCCGCCAAGAGATCGGGGCTGGCCCCGCCCCTAGGCACGCAGCACATGGGCGGAGCCAGCCCCTGGGCGCATTGGCAGCACTGGCCCCGGGCACGCAGCACATGGTCAGTGCTGGCCCCAGGCGTGCAGCGGTTAGGCGGTGCTGGTCCAGGTTCACAGCACAAGGTCTGTGTCAACCCCGGCCCAAGGTGTGCGGCGTATGGGCGGTGCCGGCCCAGGTGCGCAGCACATGGGCGGCCCCGCCCCCGGGTGAGCGGCACGAGGGCTGTACCGGCCCTGGGCTTGCAGTGTATCGGAGCACATGGTCAGTGCTGGCCCCAGGCGTGCAGCGGTTAGGCGGTGCTGGTCCAGGTTCACAGCACAAGGTCTGTGTCAACCCCGGCCCAAGGTGTGCGGCGTATGGGCGGTGCCGGCCCAGGTGCGCAGCACATGGGCGGCCCCGCCCCCGGGTGAGCGGCACGAGGGCTGTACCGGCCC